TTTTCAGATTTACCAAAACACAGTTTTTAAAGGACACTGTTTGTTGGGTGGCCTCATCTGCTCCCCAGATGAAGTGGCACTCGAGTTACCTCGAGCAACCACTGCCAGGGAGAGCTGGGTTTCACCATGTGTGTTTTGCTCGGAAGACAAACCTGACAAGCCGGCAGACTGAGAGACAGGTTCTGTCAAGCAGAGTGTTTAACACAGGTTGATCTACCCCATGTAACGTTCACCAGCTGTTTAAGTGCTTCTCGTGACAGGCTGCTTTGTGAACCTGAAACAAAGGGTTTGGTAGATTGCTTTAAGCCTGTTCCTGACACGCAGGAGGGTGTCTACTGGCATGGAGTTGAGGCGAGGAAAAAAAGAAAGATGTTTGTGGTGGTGGAACAGGCCAGGCTGTGCAGGACTGACTAGTGAAAAAGGCTTTCCTGAAGCTCACGAGATGCTGTTATGACTTGGGCTGTGAAATCTTAACTTTTCTGGGAACTGATGGGATTCTTAATTCTTAACTCTCAGCTCACTGTGAGCTACTCAGAAACATCAAGGCGTATTCCAAACCAAGCACCAAAATTCAGCACCATTTTTTCAAATACTGCTCTTAGTGACTTCTATATAGTTCTCGCTTAAGTCAGTAGCAAAACTTTGTCAGCTCAGGACGCTTTGTTCAGTGCTGGGCTTCTGGACCTCGTGTGTTGTCCAACTCGCGCTGCTCCAAGGAGCATCAGCTTGAGCTTCAGCTGCTGCAGGTGAGCACAGCCACCCCACTTCCAGCGGAGATGCCCGTCAGCTCAGGCTCTGGGGCCAGCTTTGCAAAGATGTTTAGCAGCTTAAACAGGTTGATGGAGTTAATGGGAATTAGGCACCTAACCTACTTAGATGCTGCTATAAATGCTGCTAGGCATGTTTAGGTACCTAAATACCTTAGTAAATCTTTCCCCTTACTGCTTGCAATGATAGTGTACCAAAAATCAAATACTAATCAATAAAGCCTAACCTTTGTCCTCTGTAACCAGCTTTGCCTTCCCCCGGGGATTGTTTGCATGTAGTACTAAAAATACCAGCCAGCTCACAGGTTGTACCATCCAGGTTCTGTTCATCAGTTTTATGGGCTTGGTTACTTATTGCCTATTCTAGATGTTTTTTCCCCCAGACAGTGGCTGATGTTGCTGTGGATTTAATAGTTTGATATTTTCGTAAAACACTTTTAAAGTAAGCTATTTTACTACAAGATAATAGTATTGAATTCTCTTTCCACAAAGACGCAATGAGTTTTGTATCAGTCATCATTAACTCATATGGTTGGGCCAAAATCTTTTACAAATAGAATCTTATGTTTCCAAATACTAGGATGGGAAGTTGAGATCTAATAACCAATACTGATTTTGTCCCCATAGTACAGTGTCTGAGTCAAATCCAAACTAGTTAAAGCTCTTAATTTAAAAAAAACAAACCACCAAACAACTTTGTCCCTCTTGTTTCTAGTTATGTTTTGGGAGGTTAGCGTGTCCCTGAAGCTGTAAGGCCATGTTTGATCTGATGTATATGATAAGGATCTTTATTTATAACTTCCAGGATTAGCTCAGCTTAAATATGCATAGGGTTAACTACTGCCTAAGGATATTTTCTTGCATTAGAGCATATATGTTGTCTAGTTTCAGCTATTCACAGCATAACAGAAAAGATGATGACCTGCTTAGTAGTTACAATGGCACTCAAGACTCAGAATTTAGTCCAGCATCTTTTCCAAAGCATACGTAAGCTCTGTTCTTCCTGCAAGTTATGAAGGACACTGATGAATAGAGATACTGAACTGCAACTATACGGTGCCTTATAGTTCACTGGGGGCTGCAAACAAGGGAGTTTGCTGAAATGATCACTCGTCTTGACGAGAAAAAATCCAGTGTCTCAAGACAGTCATTATGGGGAATATTGTTTTGATTGCTAGGCCTCTTGACTAAAAGCAAACCAAGAACAATCAGTGATTTTGCTCTGGTAACTTTTTCTGGTAACTAATTGTGACTTTGGGTAAGTCACAATTTCACCCTGACCCCCAAAAGCCACACACCAATCAGAAGTGTCTTCATCTCTTTCTAAGTGCCCTGCTCTTTAGCTATTAAGCACTCAATATTTCCCTATGGCCCAATTATTATCATCATCAAGAACAATCCTTGCTCTTGTATGTGAAAAGAACTCGTTAAAACATATGATTAAACTGAAAAAAGAAATAAAATTATGTTTGTGGCCTAAAATAAAAATGTAACAATAATAGCACTGATATGGGAAAGTGAAAAGATCTTAGGAAAGGCAAAGCATCGAGGTTCCTTCTAATGTTTTCATTTTTACTCCAAAGGCTGGTAATGCCTCACCGTTCCTTTCCAACTCCAGAGCACTGAGCTCTCCAGGGACAGTGAAGCTTTCGGTCCCCAAGCAGCAGACTGAGCTGCATTTATTAATCTCCAGTCTGTGCCATTGGGGACCCCAACATTAGGTACTGTAATTAGTCACCATGGGGGTTACACGGTCCAAGTCAAAGACAACTGTATATAATTGATGTCATGGCAGGAGCAGAGGAGTCCATTAAGAAAGCTGCCTGTCACTCTCAGATCATATTATTTCTTCAAATTAAATACAGAAGTGTTGTAAATCATACAGAGGAACGGGAAATAGGACACCAACAGTGTTAAAGTATGGTTGCCTTGTTATTTGGTATTGGTATTGTTTTATTATTGTTTATAACATGGACTTGTTGGAGCGGCGCCGGAGGAGGCCCCAGCAATGACCCGAGGGCTGGAACCCCTCTGCTGGGAGGAAAGACTGGGAGAGCTGGGGCTGCTCAGCCTGGAGAAGAGAAGGCTGCGGGGAGACCTTACAGCAGCCTGCCAGTACTTGCAAGCGGCCTACAAAAAGATGGGGAAAATATTGTCAGCAGGGCTTGTTGCGATAGGGCAAGGAGCAATGGCTTTAAACTACAGGAGACTAGATCTAAGGAAGAAATTTTTTACCATGAGGGTGGTGAAACATTGGAACAGATTCTCCAGAGAGACAGTGGAGGCTCCATCCCTGGAAACATTCCAGGCCAGGCTGGATGGGGCTCTGAGGGGGGGGGTTGGACTACAGAACCTTTAAAGGTCCCTTCCAACCCAGGCCATTCTATGATGCTATGATTTGGCTATTTGAAAGATGCAACCGTAAGGAATTACTTTATCATTAAAGGAAAATGTGTAAATGCAATTAATCTCACCTTATTAATTTCTCCATGCTCTCATCTTTGGGAATGGAGTCTACTCACTTCAGCCTAAACTCTCTAGGTACGTGCTCAACCCATTCTGATTTTAGATGCTGAAGTAGCATGGTAATATGGGCTCTGGTGTTCCAGTAGCCATTTAGAGTCCTGCAGTGAATGATATGAAAAACAAAAATCAAATCAATAGTAAATGTACACTAACAGGAAAGTCAGGGTCACTGAAAAGTCTCTTCTACTGCTGTGCTGAGAGGTTCTTCGGTACCAAACTCCAGAATTTGTTTCAGTCCCGGTTTGTTATCATTGCTTGTCCTGACTGTTCTGTATGCACAAATTAACCTGCTTACAAGTGACTATGGTTTCAGCAAAGTGAAGGAAAAGGCCTTAGTAACTTCACCACATTCATAAAAACATAGATTCCCTCTTAGAAGAAAACTCATTAGCCATGGGGAATGAAGTTTTGCTACAGCACAGGTAGGTGCTACAAGAGGACTCTTCCCAGCAAGGGTAAGCGCCCAGAGGAGAGAGCAGCACAGCAGGGCAATCAGCAAGTGGGTTTCTGATCTGGCTGAGAGAAATTGCTGCTCTCCAAGTGCAGAGAAGTATCTAGTTTCTTTTTTTGCTATGGCCAAATTGGGAAGGTAAGCCAAGGGACTCTGCAGCTGGGAGTGAAGACAGTGGCACGCAGTCGGGCGCATCACCACGTCCTGGGACGCACAGTGCCTGAGAGCTGGTTCCTGAGAAGGGATCGTTATCACACACGCTATTCCTTGCCCTACAACTTTTAGCTGACTCTAGTGGAAAGTCCTCAATCCAAAAAAAAAAAACCTTTGTTCTGTAAAGGTACTGAGAAACTCCAGGTCCAGGCAGGAAAGTTAAATGAGTAGAGACATGCCCAGAAGTGTCTGTAATTCCTGGTTAAAACCAAGGCCACAGCACAGCCTCCTATCTCTTTTTGTACTAACTGCATTTAGTAGTTGTTCACTGTACTGATGCCAACACAGCACCCACCTAGAGCTCTCCTCTTGCCCTACCCAGTTCTGATCGCTCCCCTAGAGCAAAGCAGTTCTCAGCTACCTTCTCCCTGTCATCAACCGTGTTGCCGAGGGAAAGACTGCAGCTCTGACGGCTCTCAAGCAGGTAAACTGAGCCTGCGGTAATCCCGAACACCTGCGACGAGAAGCACGGCTCTGCCATGGAGACTGACGGCTTTGAGAGCAGGGAAGGACAGGAAGTCAGACGGACGGACGTGCCTTGTGTTGTGTGGCCCTGCCAGGGCTGCAGCCTAATTGGATTTCACAAACGTGACTTCTGTGTCCCCTGATCACAACACCAAATTAAACCTCAAGAAGTTTCGAATAAATCCCTACCTGAAAGTTTGCCTCAAAAAGTAAATTATGATAATCTCATTTCAGATTCTCCTCTGCCCCAGAAGGGGAGCAAAATGAAAACTTCAAAACTATAGCTTTAAAACAAATAAGAAGCAAAGGACGACCAGAAGATCTTCTGAATTCATGAGTGCACTGAATAAAACCAGTCATGTGATAATGATGGGATTTTCTAGAACACCTTTTAGGCATGCAATTTCTGTATTAAATCTATTCAGACATCCCTAGAACATCTGTTTCTTCTGTAACAGCCACTTTTTAAAGTGCATTGACAGCTACAGATAAAAGCATGGTAATTGCTAGTAGTGACTACTGCCTAAGAAGAGCTTTTCTTGAAAGTTAACCCGTCAAGATTTTTAACACTATCGCACATGTACATGCAGATTCTGGATAAACGCCTCAGCCGTGATAGCCCTGTGCCGGTTCACACAGTTTTGGGAGGCGGGGGACATGTTAAAATCACAGATAACTGGGACTCAAACAGGCTGAAGCCTCTCTTGAACCCAGATGACAAGTGGGCTGCTGTCTGGAGTCGAGGTAGGAGGGGGAGCAGAGCTCTCCCTCCAGGGCTGCCTGTTCCCTCCGATTTGCTGTTAACGTGGCCCAAAATCTGTCGGAGCTGCTGCAGCACAGCGGCGCGATGGGCTGCTCCGCCTCCCTGCTAGAATACTGGGGAGCCCAGAAAGAAAGGAGCCAATTACGGCTACTGCCCGGGAAGGTCCACAGCTCTACAGCAACAGGCGTCCAGGCTGCTTTTCATCTAGCTCCCTCTTTCCCTATGTTTATTCATGCGTCGGGGTGCAGAGAAGATGAAAAGGCTGCTAGCAGACTTCTCCCTGGAGTCACCACTTGCAATGGTACCGCAGTTCCGGGGAAGCCTCGCCTGCTCTCCGAGCAAGGCTGGTACTCATGGGAACGCCAGAGTTCCTCTGTAGTTCCCAAGGCAAGCAAACATTATCCTTATCGTCCGAGCACTGAGGCACAGGGAGAAGTCACTAAACCTAGTCTACATTGGTAAGGTCCCAGAGCTAGCAGGGAAATTTTTCCTCTCTTGAAAAACACAACTCAACATTGCGCTATTGCGATGGATTTGCTTGGTGCCAGGCTGTTCTTCTGGTCTTTACGGCAGCCACATGAACAGCTGTAAAACAGTACCTAAAAACCAAGTGACAGGGCAACGTGGACTGCTTTCACACAGAGCTCTAGCAGAGCAAAATTCTGCTACAGAAAACCTGGCTGACACCTTTGTTTGCAACAAGAAGTGGCAGGTATTGGAGCAGAAAGTAAAACCCATGCCTGAATGCAAGGAAAGAGCCTTCGGGGAGGCACCAGCTCGGAACAGCTCCCGCCGTCCTCAGCCACCCCCTCGCTCGGTGAGTGGGGATGGCCAGGGACAGGCGGTCAGGGTGCCCGGTTCTCCACACACAGCATCCCCCCACTGAGGAACAGCAGTTACTCCCCTGGAGCACCTACTACCTGGGAAAAAAGCTAACTCAGGCTGATTTTTTCAATTTCGAGGGGAACTGTTATAAATATTGAAAAGAAATCACAGCTCCTGTTATCTATTACACAAATGGAAAGCTGAATTTTTTTCTCAGTTGATTTGCAAACTCTCATTAACTCTGTCTGTGCTGATGCCTTACCATGAGGGTGTCTCCGTGCTGAAATGTGTATTCTCTAAATGAACCAAAAGCGGAATATTTTGTGTCTGTAACGGCAATGTGTGTTAGAGCTATAAAATCCTCTCCCTTGAATTCATGTATATTTTATTTTTTGTTAAAATTTTCAAGCACCTTCAGATGACAGCAGATCTTACATTTGCAATAAAGCCTTTTCAGAAAAAACAGTGGCATGGACCCTTCTGACCCTTATTCCAGAAATGCAATGTTTCCACAGATTTCTTAGATTTTAAAAACCAGTCTATGTGGCAGTGAGGTACAGCATCTGAGAGATTTCAACAGCCTAGGCAGAGTGAATCGTTCTGGTAGAGATTACTCATGAGCTACTAATTTCAGCACAATCTTAGCGTCCAGCTCTGGAGCCCTCAGCACAGGACAGACCTGGAGCTGTTGGAGCAAGGCCAGAGGAGGCCCCAGCAATGATCCGAGGGCTGGAACCCCCCTCATGGGGGGAAAGGCTGGGAGAGCTGGGGCTGCTCAGCCTGGAGAAGATAGGGCGTGGGGAAGATCTTAGACCACCCTGCCAGTACCTGAAGCAGGCTACAAGAAAGCTGGAGAGGGACTTTTTACAAGACAAGGGGTGATGACTTTAAACTGAAAGAAGGTACATTTAGACTAGCTATAAGGAAGGAATTCTTCCCTATGAGGCTGGTGAGGCCCTGGCCCAGGCTGCCCAGAGAAGCTGTGGCTGCCCCCTCCCTGGCAGGGCCAGGTTGGACGGGGCTTTGAGCAGCCTGGGCTGGTGGAAGGGGTCCCTGCCCGTGGCAGGGGGTTGGAACTCGATAATCTTTAAAGTCCCTTCCAACGTGGCTCCCCCCCCCCTGGCAGGGCCAGGTTGGACGGGGCTTTGAGCAGCCTGGGCTGGTGGAAGGGGTCCCTGCCCGTGGCAGGGGGTTGGAACTCGATAATCTTTAAAGTCCCTTCCAACCCAAACCACTCTGTGACTCTATGATAATAAAGCCTTTGACTGACTTCAGAAGGACCCCAGTGCAACTCATAAGTAAACTAGTCTCACCTACCAGTAACCCAGAGTAACCAAGGTGTTTCCTTGCAGGATGGGATCTCACACAGGTTCCTTGTCCAAGCCAGACTGGACCTGCAGGGTGCCTTTACCTCCCCCGATGCACTGGGGAGGGTGCGGCTCTCGACAAGCATTCAGCACCCACCAGGATCAAACCCTCAGCACCTAACTGGGATCTAGGCAGTTCAGATTTCTTGCGATGAGCACTCCTTAGGCTGTTTGTCTGTGCTAGCAAAGTGCAGAAATCTGCAATAACCGAGATCAATACCGACTCTGTTACCAAGCAGATGCTGCCTCCCAACCTCTGAGCAGCTCATTAACAGGGCTTGAGAGAGCAAGAAGAGGCTATTACTGCGAGGTTCAGAGAAAGAGAGTGTACTGCTACCGGACTTATTGCTGGAAACAAGTAACCGGCTGCCGTGTACAAGACGCTTCCAATCTGCCAATGTCATAATAGACCTCATTACCTTATTTATACGTGAAATCATATCGCTAACTCCTGCAAATATCCACCTGGGATACAGATGTTACTCTCTTAAGGTCCTCCTGCCTGCCCCTACAAGAAACAGGGACAAACAACGAGACAGGCAACACTGACAGAAACTGAGTGGCTTGTCCACGGTCACAAATTAGGTGATGGCAGAGGCTGGAGAGATGAGCAGTGGTCACCAGCCTGGTGCTTTAACCCCTGTACTGAACTGTCTTGATAACTGAAGGCTGCAGATCAGGTGTAAAGGTTTCAGTTAGAAGAAAATGTTATTCTTCAAATAGAGTATTAAAAAAAACAGTTCAGAACTTTTCCACCTGATAACACATGGAAGATCATTTCCAGTGACGAAAACTCCTGGACCACATGTATGATAAACAGCAGATTTAGTTCTGCACCTTTCAGTGCTATTGCACGACTCTTCCCACCCAGCTGGGACCTCAGTCTTGAGATGCCTCGTAGCTTAAAACCCAAATATAAGGGATTGCAAACAGACCGAGAGCGAATACATTTCTCAGACCCACGACCACGAGCACAGGGTGCAGACAGCTGTGAGAACCCCGCACTCTGGTATCTCCGGGGTGCCTGGGTCTAATGCCTGCTGCTGAAGGACCTTCACATAACAAGGCAATATGGCCCTGCTTGGAGAAGGGACAGCTTTTCCAAGGAAGAACTCACAGAATATAGCAGTTGACAAGTCAGTTAGATAACAAAAAAGATACAGTGATAGTGCTGGATGTCTGAGCAAAGTATCAGAGGAATGTTCTACAAAGCTTGTCTAAAAGTCTACAGCAGCTGCAGTTTTGTTTCTGCTCTGTGGAAGCTTCTTGGCTGTAGAGGCCTTTCAGTGCAAGGAAGGAGTGTCCCAAGGCGCAAAACAACCATTTGGTTGTACAAGTGCAAAATATTGTGAGAAGCTGATCGTACTTAATGGAGTTAGCGGATGAAATGCTGTATCCATGGTATCTAGCGAGGTGACTCATGTCACTGCTATAAATACTAACTTACTTGCAAAGAATATAGTCTAGTAAAATCTGCATTGGTACTGCATTTGCACAACAAAATTGTACTGAGGTTCCACTTCTTTGAATGTTAATAGTGTATCTCTGAGGATGAGATACTGGTGGAAAACAGCTGAGGCCCAAGGAGAAGCCGTGCTCCACATGCTCTGCCTCTGCTCTTCTCAGCTGACGGCATGAAGGACAGCCCAGCAGGCAGCCTTCCCCAGGCCCAGCGTATCATCAAGCATGACTACAAGTGCATCAAATTGGGGAGGAAACATCTCTGTGTACACCTTCAGGAGCTTAATGCAGTAACTGTAATCCAAATGTTTGCTTCACACAGAAACAAGCCACTGGCTCCTCTCTGATGCTGCTAATGCTTTCAGCCATTAAGAATACGGATGCCACCTGGACAGCAAGGGAGCTGCAAATGGGATAACCATTAAATAGCTGCATGCCATCTTACTTGGATCTTTCCTGGGAAGCAAAAACACTGCAGAAGAATATCTGAAAGTTCCTAGAAGAAACAACAGACTTCATAAGGTAAAGACATCAGGCAGAGCTTCACTGGCAATCTGGAATTCGCATTAGCAAATAGCTTTGGATGTTTGCACTTGGAGACAAGACTGTAACTTGCCTCCCTAGGAAAAAAGGAAAAATAAGAATAAAAGGCAGCCTCTCCAGACTGACAGCAGTGCCGTTTGCTTCTGAGCTGAGGAGCTCAGTGCCACCAAAGTGAATGCAAAGGTGTCTGTGGATTTCAGAACAAGCTGCTCGCCCAGCTAATTTAATGAGCGTAGAGACGCGCTCCCTCTCCTTTTCTGGCTAAATGTTGAGGGACTCGAGTAAATCAGTGGGGAAGAGAGGACTGTATTCGTGGCTGCTCTGCAATCAGAGGTCTGAGGTGCAAGTAGTATAAATGGGACCTTTTAAAATAATATACGGAATTCCTAATGATTTTTACGAGATACAAATAACTTTCTCATTACAAGAACTTCCTTCTCTCCCCTTGTTTAAGTATTCCCTAGCTCAGTGAAGGTGGAAAAAAAGTTGAAAATCTGAGTTGGTTCAACACTACAAGGCTTTGAAAAAAATATCGATAGACAAGCGCTTCTCCTCTTCTCCTCCATCCAGAGCCACAACACAGCTGAAATTCGGCAGCTTTGGTAGTTATTTGCATGTGTTATTGTGTGCCTTGAGATTCTGATAAAATGCAAAGATCATCAAATTGGAATCTCATTACTATGTACCTTTTGTAAGATTAGTAATTTCATAGTATATTAATTTTTTCCTAGATTTGTTTAAATGCGTTAACAGCACTTGATTTAAGAGACAAGCATGGGCAGATA